GTGATGGAGTCTAGCCTAATGGTTGCAATAGGGCAAGATCTATTTCTAATAGTTTTATTTCAGAGGATGGAATAGTTTTGCCCTTTTTAGTAAGCAGTTTGAAATACTATTAAGATTTGTAAAATTAGTTTCACTGGAGAACACAAAGACTAAACAAATAGTTCTATGTATTTCTTCCAAGAAATTATTGTCTATACATAACTGAGTAGCCTTGTCTTGGATATAGGGCATGACCACCTGTAATTATGTAATGAGAAAATAGTATTTTTCATTTCATTTTTCATTCAACAACTTTCACACAATAAGGCACTGAAATTAACAGTTAATGCAACCATTACCTTGCAGCAGCAAAGTAATAGTAAAGCAACAATTACATATATTAAAAAAATACGAACTTACATATTCATCTATGGGGTCCCCAGAAATAGAACTATATATAATTCTATATTGCTGCACAGGTCCATCTGCATGATCCCACTGAACAGAAAGACTGTTTGTTGTTGGATCAAATACTCTTATGTTCCTGGGTCCACTACGAGGCACTAAGACAAATGAACATTAAATATAAAATAAATTCAGTGTAGTAATCTTCTTAAACCATGGAACCTGCAAATACTTTACAGGGGCATGGACAAAATGGGGAAATTATGTCTTTTTAATCCAGAACAAATAACTCCATTCTAGAGATTGTGATCCAAAACTATTTTGGATTAGCCAGTTTGGAAGAACTGAAACTTGGATAAAACAAAATCCAGAAGGGGTACCTTTCCCCTCACCCACTTAACCGCTCCTAACACTGCATCTCTCATTTGCCCACCAATCCCCCAATTATTTCTTCTCTTGCTTCTCAATCTCTTCTTAGCCTTCCTGGCTTTTTCCCTACTTGGGAAAAAAAATAGCTGTTCCACTCCACGCATACAGCAGGGTTTGTTTTTGTTTTTTTTGGCAACAGCCCATCTGAAACCAGAAGTTCTGTACACAGAACATTTTGCACATCCTTAACATTAACATTAATTGACTTTGTGCGTCAATTAATTCCACTGGCTGATTCTAACTCAGTAATTTTCAAATGATGCTCAGTTTGAAAAATGCACTGCTTTTGATGATAACTAGATCTTGAATCAACAGTATGGATACTGAGCAATTACGAGCATGGGCAGCTAAAATTACTTTTCTTAACTTCACTGCTTTAACAAGGTAGAAAACAGCTGCTGTCAAACAAACAAAAAATAATAATAAATAAATAAATAATAGAATTTTCCAAAGTGGTTAACTTACTAACATTTATTTATGCAATCCAATCTTATGAGCCCTTGTAAGTTTAAAATTGTGAACATTTTTGATTTGCTATATCCTTCTAGAATAGCTTTGGGTTAATCTGGCTTCATGATCCTGGTGAATGTTCAATATATAACTGTTCGTGGCTTCAGAAACTATCATTAAAATAATTCAACTAAAATAATTGCATTTATCAAAACAAAAATTAAAACATCAAGTGAGAATTATAAATTTATTCAATGCTTATTCAACTTTTACAAGCTAAATAGGAAAAATGCTCACTCTGGAATGGCCAACTCAACAAATAGTGGAATGTTCATAAAATAAGCTTCATAGAAAATTTAGACATTATTTATTTCCCACTAACTGAAATAAAATAGTCAGTGATACAGCCAGTAATGTGTGTCTACCTCTGTAATGACCAAACACAGAATTGTGCTTTCTGAAATTGCACTTTCATCTCATTGGATGATTAAATCAACTTTCTCATTCTATATTATAATTTTTCTTTCCTCCAGAAACATCCTTCCTCTATCATTGTGATTTCCATCTTGCTTCCTCCACAATTCCTCCAGTTTTAATCCTACTCTACCCATTATTTCATTGTAGCATGCTTAATTCAACAGAATTATACTCTCGCTCTAGCCAAATGGCCTCCATTCACCATCACAGCTCAACCTGTCTCCTTTCCTTCTCCCTTTCTTGTCCTCTTCATTCCTCCATCATCTACATATCCCAACCATATGAGTAAGATTTGGAGCAGATCATCCTTGTGAGTTTCAAAAGGAGTCCTAAACAGACAAAATTTCTCCTCTCAAAACCATCCTTGAGGATGAAGATGCCTCTCTCTTGACCTCATCTAATATAAAATCCTAATATTTAAAGTTTTACATTTTTAATTATAGCAAATATTTTGTAAATTTGTACTAAAGGCCAAATGTCAATCTGAACATGTTACTATTGACAATCTAAGATGAAATCATGAAGGTCACTTTCAGTCACAATGAACTGCATGCTGATATTATATACAGATAGCTGTCAGCAGTGCTTTTTTTGTTAAAAAAAAAAAAAAGGTGCCGGAACTCACACACGTCATACAACCCGCCTTGCCCACCCTACAAGGTTCCATCCAAAAAAGGTGCCAGAACTCCGTTCTGGGCGTTCTATGACAAAAAAAAGCCCTGGCTGTCAGTATTCACTAGGGTATCTCTCTGTGTCTGATAATCCACAAGTATGTGAACATTTACCAAATTCTGGATATTCATAGTTTAGTCCTTAATATAAAAACTGGCTTTAATTCCTCTGAATACTTTAAAGTGGGACATTTTAAGTGTTTAAAGAATATACTTTAAACCAGTATTCAGAGACATATTGAACTAAATACAACAAATTTTTCTATGCAAAGTTTCCCTCTTATATGTTCATTCAATACTTCTAATCACTGAAACAGAGTAAACTACATTCATGTAAGGCCCAGTGCAGAATATAAGAACCAAAGCGTTTTTAGAGAGCTAGGTAGGAAGGAGTAATTCACACCAATCAGTGTTGGGCAATAATGTGCATGATTTTCTGCTTACATGTTCTTCCCTGTCCTGTACTTGGATCCCCTTCTCCATCAGCATACAAAGCAACGACATTTATTGAATAAGGAGTATCAGGAGACAGACGTTCCAGTAAAACGTTGCGCGTGTTGCTTGGGATAATTACCTAGAACGAAAGCAATACTGAAAATGTTGTCCGTAACTGATGGTGAACTGCTGAATATTCTTCACCAGCTTAATAGACTGCTTAAGTAATGTCTCTTCAGGGATAGTTAACAGCTGAAAAACTACCTCAACTCTCACTTGGAACGCATGACCTGGGGATTATACATCTACATAACCCCTACCCAAATTGTGAAATGTCTAAAAATGTCAAAATGTTGCTGTTACAATATTTGGCCTGACTTTTTTACATCTGTACAGTACATCTGCTAATATACTGAGGTTTTAAATTTTTACTATTATCTTTTTCCTATACCCTGTTTCCCCTCCTCCCAATGCATTGTGAGCATTTTTTTTTATCTTTGATCATGAATCAACGAAGTAAAGGACTGAAAGCTCAGAAAATCTAATACTGGAAGTTACGAAGTGGGCTTCCATGATTGGGGGTGAGCCTGAACTCAATGTTCTTACTCCTAGTCCAAAAAATTAACTATTACGCTGCACTGGTTCTAAGTACAGAAGCATTTCTCCACAAACTGATACAAGTTATGAAGCTGTCCCGAACAATGTCTACGCTACAGATAATTCTTGACTTACAACCATTCATTTAATGACTGTTTGAAGTTACAACAGCACTTAAAAAAAAGTGACTTATAATTGTTTTTCACAGTTATGACCATTACAGTATCCCTATGGTCACATGATCAATATTCAGATGCTTGGCAACTGGCATGTATTTATGATGGTTGTGGTGTCCCAGGTCATGTGATCATCTCTTGCGACTCTCTAACAAGCAAAGTCAAAGGGGAAGCCAGATTCACTTAACAACTGTGTTACTAACTCAACAACGTTAGTGATTCACTTAACAATTGTGGTAAGAAAAGCCATAAAACGGGGTAAAACTCATTTAACAACTGTCTTCACAATGGAAAGTTTGGGCTAAATTGTGGTCATAAGTCAAGGACTACCTGTATATGACATTTGAAACATTCAGACATTTACAGTGGAATAGGATGCATTATTTCTTTTTCATCAACCAGAGATTGCTTTAGAAATAATTGTGTTAAATTACTTACAGATTCTGATGGCGTTGTGGCAGCTAATGGATTATAGACAACTTTGTACTGCTGCACTGGACCTGGTGCAGCCTCCCACTGGACATTAAGGCTGTTTGTTGTTGGGTTATAAATCTGGATGTTTCTTGGTGTCCCCCTCATCACTGCATCATATAAAACAAATTTGCATTTTTAAAGAAATCTCCCTATTTGTAGACTCTGAACGAAGTATAATCACAAGAGTTAACTATTATATCAGTTGCACTTTATGTTATTTATGTAAATAATGTCTATGTCATTTGCATGAACATATTGTGTAGGCATCATTGTGTTGCACAAGCATGTCATTCCCTAAATAATGTCACTTATGTCACCACAATGACTTACTCTTCAGTTTACTGGACACTGGGGAATAATCTATACTCTTTCCCATTTCCATCCCTACCAGTCTACTAAAAGTAAGTTCCATTGTAATAATTTTGGTATCACTGAGGATCAGCTCTGGAAGAGAGCTCCCAAAAATACTTTTTCATATATTAAATAAGCTTGCAAACAAGCAGATTAATTATGACCTTTTTGTGAATTTCAGTTATGTTTCCCTGTATTTTTCCTACTATACCTAGATTTTTGGGGCAGAGTATAAACAGATTTTTCGTAAAGTAACCATAAATCATAGTTCTGAGCTCAGTCTTATAAAGAGTTCATCATTAAAACAACCCGGATTCATTAACCAACCAACTGGTTTTAAATGTGTTTTGCCATGGAGCTAAGCCAAAAATAAGCAAGCCACCACCTTCAGGCTTAGGGTTATATAGGAACCCGGGCTAATATCTACAAAAATAGCTTACTAATTTAAGTCACCTTACTAAATTAAGTCAATGATTTGTACTATAGCATAATGAAGTACAGTAAGCTTAGGCCCTGTACAATCAGCAAGTTACCTACTTCTATCTTAATTGGGGCCCAAAGTCCCAACATTTGATGAAAGAGGGAAAAACTCCTCCTAGTTCTACTTACATGTTTTCCCCGTATCAGACACCCGGCCTCCATCACCCTCTGAGTAAACAGGGACAACGGTTACTTTGTGTGGAGTGTCGGGCTGGAGATTCTTTAGAACGGCATAGTTTGTATTCCCAGGCAAAGTTACCTGTCAAAAGTTTAAAACAGGACATGTAATTGGAAATTTCATGGTTGTTCTTAAACCACTTTCCCTATGAATGTAAAAGATAACCTTCACGTTCATTAAAATTCTCCTCTTATTTTATTCAAATCTAAAATCCCAGGGGAATTTTTCATCAGTGGTGAGTGCTCCATAAGCAGAGTCCCCAAATTCAGTGGAACATCATTTTGAAAAGCCTCCAAGCAAGTGTACAGAAAACTACACAGGTACAAAATATGCACACAAAACAATTACCATTTCCTCTGTTCCTCCTGCCACGGGTGTATAATACACCTTGTACTGACGAGGATTTCCTTCCGCATGATCCCATCGTACATTCAACGTGCTAGTGGTTGGATCATAAACTCTAAGATTCCTTACGGTGTTGAGAGGTTCTGAAGTTATTGAAAAGTATAAGACAGAAAGAACTATTAAATACAGATATGCATTACTATAAATCAAAGTTCTATACATTAAATATGAAGCATGTCACAGTTGTGAGAGGGGTATCTATATAAATTGATATAATGAAGTGTTGCCCTAGTTATGTAAGCTGGCATAAAACTGACACTTGAATGGCTGCCGTGTCCACTTCAGCTGTTCATTTTTAAATGCATTGCATGGACAACCTAAACTTATTTTTTTTTAATCCAAAGAAAATTTTAAAATGCAATTTATTGCAATACAATTCTCTGCTATTGCTTTGCTACTGCTGCTGCTACTATTACTGCTACTGCTTTATTTCTGAAGCTTAAGGACGGCTGAGGAACTTCACTACTCAATAGCCATCCAACTGTACTATTTATGATATAACTAAGCTCTCATGTTCTAGAAACCATTAACCTCATTGGGTGGGAAAACCTGTTCTCCACTGACAAAAAGAAGAGGTGGAATGATGTAACCTTTAATTAAGTAGATTCAGACTAACTTATCTCACTAGATGACTATTCGGGGGGGGGGGGAACTTTATTAAAGACAAATTAAAAACCAAACTAATAAAGATGCTTCCCTCCCGTTAATCACGCAATGGTTATTAAACTATTATTCTCATTCTTGTGGGGTTAGATGTACCTATCCTTCATTAACACTATTAAGTAAAAGTTGCTAGCTTTTTAGATATAAATGCACAGTAATTTCTCCTAATAAAACTCATTTGGCCAGTGCGTTTAAACACATTTAATTCTGATATATATGTTCCTCTCTCATTCAAGCCAAATACTTGGAAAAGTTCAGAAAGTTGGGAAACCATTAATGAAAGCACACTTTTCAAGAGATAAATGGGGGAGGCGGTGGACTCATAATTTCAGTAATCAGAACTTTAATATATGTGTGTTGATATTTAACGATGACCCTTTAAGGGGCAAGCTGTAGAATGTCAACACAAAGGGTTTTTCCAACAATGAAATGAAAGTAGACTTTATCTTTATGGCTCCAACAGCCTTTTTTCATGGGGTAATACTCTGCTGACTACATAAGATTGAGGTTTTTTTTCCAAAACTGCATTCCAGCACTAGAGAGAAGTCCAGAGCACGGAAACAACTAAATTGCAGTGCACAGAAATGGATGGAAAGGGGAAAAGGATAAAAGTTCATTAAAAGGCCATGTGTAATTATGGTGAAGCCATCCAGCTTTTTTGTTATTTGTCAGTGATCCAAAGTGAAATAAAGAACCACCTCAGTCTGATTTGGGCCCAGGGAATAGAATCCCTATCTCAGAGAAAGAAAGTTGGATGCTACACGATAACTGTGTCAAGAATTGTACACTTATCATTCAATAGAAATTTTCTGGAAGAAATAAACTTATATTAGACTCTCCTTCTCTCCCTCCCTCACACATATATACCATGGAAAGAAATGAAAGCTACAGAAAGAAATTCTAAGTATTAAATACAGGTAGTTCTCAAGAAATGGTAGACTATTTAACGACTGTTCAAAGTAACTACAGGTACTCCAAAACTACATATGATCCTGTTTCAAAGTTACAGCAGCTGCAGTGCCTTGAGGAGCTGCTGAAACAATTCAGCCCCACGCTGGGTGTTTGCAAAGCTATTTTGCTGTCCTATTATCTGAAGGACCCAGCTAGGACTTAAAGGCAAAGTCCTAGGTAGATCCTACAGCAGGCATGTCAAACTCGCAATGTCACACGACGTCGCACAAATTATCGCAACTTTTTTCCCATTGCCGGCGAGGGGGTAGGCACGGTTTCAGCGTGACGCATCCGGCCAGTGGGCCGGCAGTTTGACATGCATGTCCTACAGACAGTCAGATGAACAGCAAAAAAAGCTTTGCAAAGACCCAGCATCTGCCATTTTATTGCACAAGTCTCTACTCTGCTAAACGTTCAGAGATGTTTTATTTTTATTTATTTTTTCTTCTAGTTCAAGGGGAAAAGCTGCAGAAAGATTTTCTCTCCTGGCTTGCTCGGTTCCTCTACTCTTCAGCCTGGAGTCAGGAAAAGGTTTTTTTTTAAAGAGATAAGAGATTGGAGAGCAAAAACAGGGAATTTAGTTTTAGCGTATAATGGGGGAAGGGGGTGAAGTCAACAAGTCCATCCCTCCCAGCTTTTTCTTTTCTGTTTATTGAAGCAATGTGGGCTTCTGGGGAAGGGAGGAGGTTAAGCAAGGGAAAGGTTTTGGAAAGCTGGTCCTGAAGCTGCTGCCTTTGCATGCAGGAGCTGGCCTCCCCAAAGCCTAACAACAGTCAGGAGAGGTTTGCATCCTCCCAACTGTCCTATTATCTGAAGGACCCAGCTAGAACTTAAAGGCAAGTCCTAGGTAGATCCTACAGCAGGCAGGGGCAGGAAGCCCTGAAAGGCTAGGAAACTGGTCCTTTTTTTGCCTCAGAAAGGCAGGGAAGCTTGGAAGGAGAAAGGGCAGGAGCAGAATTATGAAAGGCAGTCGCACCCAGCATATTCCTTCTCCATTGTTTCTCACTGCCAAGACAGCCAGCTGTGCAAGGGCTGGCATGTGAGGCACCCGAGGGGTGGGGAGGAGAACGTGGGGTACCTCGGGCTGGGGGAGGCCTTGGGAGGCCTAAGGCAGGTGGGCTAGTGTCTGCACAAGGCCTCTCAGGATCTCCCCCACCCGAGCACCACTTTACGACCCCGTGCATTCATTTAACAAATGCAGTAGGGAGAGCAAGGATGGCTGGTATTTGAGGCAGTTCATTTAATGTTTGTTGCGACTTCTGACCCTAGGATCCATTATGTCAAACTCATGACATCACATGAGGTCACGTGATGTATCGGAACTTTTCCCTCATTGCCGGCAATGAGGTGGGCACGGTTTCCTCGTGACGCATCCAGCCCGTGGGCCAGCAAGTTTGACACCCCTGCCCTAACTGGAGGACTACCTGTACTGATTCAAAACAAATCCTACTTTGAATCCTACCGTGGACTTGAATACAATGGAATGACATGGAAAATAGCAAGGCAACAAACTAAACAGAAAAAAGTTGTTTAGAAGTTGATAATGTGGCATTTTTTAAAAAAAGTGACCGAGGGTCATATGACAATGAACTCCAAAACCTGCCAACTTCCCCAATCTTTTAAAAATCTCTTCTGTGATTCCGTTTCAGTGAAAAACAAAATGCTCAGGATAGTTTCACTTACTGGTCTTGCCCTTTCCTGATATTTGTCCTCCGTCCCCTTCTGCATAAATCGAAGAAACTGTAATGCGGTAAGGGGTGTCAGGCCGCAGCTTCTGAAGCACGATGCTGTTCTTGCTTCCTCCTACTGTGGACTTGAATACAATGGAATGACGTGAAAAAATAGCAAGGCAACAAACTAAACAGAGTTTAGAAAAAGAAGTACATCTTGCATGTGTACAGATTCAGGGTTCAGGTTTCTTGCTCAGAATGATAGTACTGCAACTATTTCATTAAACATTTTATAACATGTTAGGTGGACATTTTTAATTGTCTGGTTATTTGTCAGACACAAGAATGACAAGACATCAGTCAATGCAAGAGTGTTTTAAAATAAAACATTTGTTTTAATTCTGCATATCAGTTAGAAAACATAAACATGAGAATGCTTATGTGTCTGATTAATTAAAAGCTATTAGCTATAGCTCCCCGGCATAGGAATTTGTAGGGAAAAGGGGAAGAATAGGACAAACGTGTAGCATGATATCACAGTGCAAAACCTGCAAAACCACATGTATTCAAAGTCACATCATTACATAATTGCCATTTTTTTCATCATCACAATTCATAACTGACTCATTGATCCCAGGGCCTTTGTTCAGCTTTTATTATGGACAAAACGATAGATAATATGACATGAAATTTCATCAAAATCCAATTGCGAGGACATGCAGCAAAATTAACTGTATATAGTTATGATAGTTCACAATCAACATCCAGATACATGTGTTTTTCTCTATGGGTGAGCTTAGCCTATCTTAGAAATCTTGCATTTTTTGAAGCATAGCTAGAAGTGTCATCCTGCAACTTTTCTCTCCCTCTCTCTCAAGTAAAATTCTACACTGAGGTAATTTTTTATCTAACAGTCAATATTTCTTCATTGTAACAGAGGAAGCAAATTCATTTCACCTCATCATGCAGAATGTTAAAACCTATAATGTTAAAATTAAAAAACTTTTTTTTTTTAACAGAGAATGCTTTTCCTCTGGAGAATTAATTACCGAAAGTTCAGGACCATCACCCGTAGCAGGTCGGTAATTGATCCTGTAACGTTGCACACGTCCAATGGCAGGATCCCACTTGACAGTCAAGCTATTGGATGTTGCATTATATACCTGGAGATTCCGTGGGGGACTCGTTGGTACTGGTAGGAAATTATTAAAACAGTTGCTGAGCCAGAATCTTATAAAAAATAAATGTGCAGTACAACCATACTATCATATGAACACTATGTCCTCATGTCTGAGAAAAATATTTTTAATATTTTAAATTAAATTGGTTTTTTATTTAAAATGAAATGTAACTGTCTAAAATTTGGATTTTAAACATTTGTACCTTCACAATATATACCAAGTAATATTTATAAAATACTACCGTGCCAGACTGCACTGGGGAACCAAAAAATGACAGACATGCAATGTATCAACTATGTGACTCTAGGTCAGCAACTAACTCTTAATCTAATCTATTTCATATGATTCCTATAAGGATAAAATGGGGTGCAGGTGAAGGGAATTTCATTTGAATGCATGGAGGAAGTGAGGATGATAGTCAAGGTCAAAAATGTTGGACAAGATCCATGATGCGTATTATTCAGGATTCATAGCATGAGAGATCTATGATGCAAACACAGTATTCAATAATTCAGTGATGCCTCAAGATGCTCATTGAGCATGTAAGATAAATTATATATATACTGTGTGTGTCTATGTAATATTTTCCAGGGATATCTATTTGCTATCTTTCCTATTATTTTCTACTAGTCCTATTTTTGCAACATGCTAGTTATGAAGTGAAGCACCTACCTGGTGTTGTTATAGGCACAATGGGCACTGTAAAGAAAAATACAACAGAGATTAAGTGGGTGTGAAGCCTGTGCCCTTTTGTCATCCTATATTACTAATTAATTAAGATATTTCAAAATTGCTTACATGTACGTTCACTCCCAATCAATTCATCACTCTCTGATTCATCAGGATAAATTGCAGTAACTGAGATGTCATACAATGTGTCTGGGATAAGATTTTCAAAAAGTTGCGTATTTTCATCACCATTTAGAATTGTCTTCAAGAATTATTGAGGAAAAAGAAGAAAAAAATAGAAGAGGTTACATACCAAGCAATTCATGTATCAATCGTGAACATTTTTAATATGATAAAGTATATCCTAGAAGATATGCAACCGTTAGCCTTTCTCAAGGCACTAGAGAACCTGGTTGTTTCTCCAGGCATTTGCATTGTTATTTACTGAGTTTTTCAGTAAGTGAGGTTATTGTTTATCCTTGGGTGCCATGTGTGGTGGGTTTTAAAACTACCCAGAGTCAATCTGTCTCCCCCCCCCCCATCTCTCTCACTCACACACACGCGTATGTAATTTTACATTACCAATCCATTCATCTTCAAGAGGTACAATTAAATCTATCTATCTATCTATCTATCTATCTATCTATCTATCTATCTATCTATCTATCTATCTATCTATCTATCTATCTATCTATCTATCTAAACCACCCATCTCCCTCAAAGAGGGACTCTATATGCGATGGGAAGGAACCACTCCAGAAAATACACCATAAACCAACATTTTCAATAAAACCATCACCACCATTGGCCTTTATCTCTACATGAATAATGGTATTATTCAGAAGGATGAAATAAGGAACAGACCCTAAATTGCAGATCAAGATCAAAGAGAGATTCAAGAAGAGCCATTACTGCCCAGAAATCAAGATTCTATTCTTGTAGCCTCACATATTGGAAAAAGGAGAGGGGGAAAAATCAGGTTTCTTGATATTCCTTAGCTACAAATGCATTCTCCATCATTCTGACAAACATTAATTACCTTTAAGGGTCCATCTTTTGGGGCTGATGGGCACCTCTAGAATTTTGAAAACATATCAGAAATGCCCTCAGAAATGTTTGCAATGGAGCCTGCTTATCTGTAAAATGGTTACCACGATGGGAGTGACCATCACAAGACATCTTCTTACCAGAAGAGGTAAGATTGCTCCCAATCATCCTCTCTAGATGAGGCTGGAGGTTGATACTTTATTTTGTAGCACAATAGGTTCCCCTTTGTTTATCTTTCAATTAAATATCTTTTAAAATCAGGTTTAGGAGGAAGCCTTACACGATAGTAACCAAGAGAATATCCATAGCACATAGGCATAGGCATCTCAGATTTTAATTATGAGTAAATGTAACTGCTTAAATTTCATATAATCACTGGATTAACACTTCCACACTTGTTGAATGTACTCATTTTCTAGAATCCAAAAATTCCTACCTCCTGTTTTTCACGTTCACCATAAGGCCCCCACATTACTCGGTAGAGAGCTACATCAGGTGCTCCATGATCCCAAGTCCCTCTGAAACTAGTTGTGGTGACTTGATCTGTTCTCAAATTGAGCGGTGCTGGTACAGGTACTGTAGAGTGGGGAAGAGAGAAGAAAAGTCTATGCATACTGTATATACTAAATCACTAGATACAAAAATTTACTGAGTAAGACCTTTTTGTTTTGTGTGTAACAACATGGGAATATACACAATAATTTCCCCACTTAGAACAATCTTCACTTTTTATAAAGCTTCATATGTATCGAATGTTGCTATGGCTAATACTTACACCTGGCAAGTTCAGGCCCATGAATGCTGGGAAAGACTTAACAAGTTTCATTTTCATTTTCTTTTCATTTTATTAAATTTATACCCCGCCCTTCTCCCGGAGGACTCAGGGCGGCTTACAGCCAGTTTAAAAACAATAATACAATACCATACAAAATTTAAAAATGATTAAAAATAAATATTTAAATAGGCCGCTTCTACTAAAATTTTGTTAAAACCAATTAAAATACCCCTAGGCCAGTCCTGCCCGCTGAAATAACCAAGTCTTGAGGGCGCGGCGGAAGGAGGGGAGATCCGGAATAACCCGGATCTCTGGGGGCAGCTCGTTCCAGAGGGTGGGTGCTCCGACAGAGAAGGCTCTCCCCCTGGGTGTCGCCAGCCGACACTGTCTGGTTGACGGCACCCTGAGGAGGGCCTCTCTGTGGGAGCGTATCGGCCGGTGGGAGGTAATCTGTGGCAGAAGGCGGTCTCGGAGGTAGCCAGGTCCAATGCCATGGTGCGCTTTAAAGATGATGATCAACAAGTTAAGTTTCAAAGCTCTATTTCAATATTTTTAACAAAGAGAAAGGCTAATTGAGGATTGCAGAAGTGATTTAATTGTCATAGAGTTGAATGAAAGACAAAGTCTTTTTGTAGTAATAAACTAGAAGACCTGTTTGTGGGTCTCCCAGGGTCATCTGTACAGCTATTGTAGAAAACTACTATGACCCAGTAGGGATGCTCTTATATTGCTTAACTGGAAGCAGTGTGACATAAAAGATACTAATTAGAACATGGTGGGCTGATAACACAATTGCAATACTGTTCAGGTGAAGCAGTGAAGGAAGCCTAATTTTTCAAAGATCAAAATAATCTTAATTTTTCAAAGTATGTATCTTTAGGCTTAAGATTGAAATATGCCACCCATACTCCTGATAACAATTTTTCAACCTTTCTGGATGGAATAAGAAGAAGCCTACCCAGTATCAATAAAATGAAAGAGGCATCATTTCAATGATTTAAGATAATTTTACTTATTTTAATCAGATATGGAGTCTATGTATGACTTCAGAAGTGGGACTATCGAACGTAATGAAGCAATGAAGCTTTCGTTGTTGGATGATAACCTTATATTTACAAAGAAAACCCTTTTCATAGTATTGTCACATAGGAATCATCTACACATTAATTCAGCCAACCAAAACCACACATTATCTCCACAAAAACTACATCACCCAATTTCCAATGACTTTCATCATTTTATTATTAACTCACCCACTGAACTTTACAGCAGTGGAAATAAATGCTCAGTCCACTGAAGGCACTAAAGAGTTCTGATTTCACAAAGTCCATAGTCAGGATTCCCATGTGGTGACAAGAAACAACAATATTGCCCTAGACAGCTTCCAAACACAACTCAAGGTACCAATACTGTCCAGCTTTCATTAAAAATATTGAGAGAATACATAAACTAAGCATTGCAACATGCTCTACCTGGGGCTACCCTTGAAAATTACTTGAAAGCAGCAGTTACTCACAGGAAGAAGTGTAATTTCAATGTAAAACTAACGCACATTGAAATATCACACTTTTTATGGTATGGAACACACAACCTTAAAAGAAAAGGGATACATCTGCCTAATTACCCAAATCTGCCAATTAACCCAGTGGATTAATAAATGTGGTAGCCAGATCACACAAAAGAAGAGCAAAAGAAAGAATGCAAAGAGAACAATTTCTTTTGTAGATTTTTTTTTCTTGTGGTTGCAAACCCATATCCTGCAAAAAAGAAAAAAGAAAGGAAAGGAAAGGAAAGAAAAGCAGCTGTTGAGCCATACAAAAAAAAAAAAAAGTCCTGACTTTGGGTGGTCATGGACAGTTATTAGGCATGCAGAGATCTGTTAATGATGCACTTCAGATTGTGGTGCCATGCTTTTAAAAGGCTATAGCTGCTTCAAAGATCATTATGATTTTTATATTTGTATCTGGATATACTGCTTCTTTCTTAACATATCAGCCAAGGAACAGATGAGCCCCTTGATAGAAATATCATCAAAGCACTGATACTCTTACACAAAGGTACACAAATGCAACACACAACTCTAGCCATCTGTTTTAACTAATAACGCTACAATATCCTAACATCCTATAAAACCATATTTCAGGCCACACACTTGTATGAGAATCTGAAGAAGCCCATTAAGTAACAGCATTGACTTACAAGTGGTGGCTTCTGCTGCTACTGGCACAGAGAGCCCATCATCATATTCTGCAGCAAGTTCTACGTGGTAGAGTGTTTTTGAAAAAAGATCAGGAAGAGACGTGCTGGTCTGGGATGGATCCACTTTCACCTGAATAAACAAAGTAGCCAGATTTCTTTCTTGAGACTTATTTTTCCCAGGCAGTAGAAAGTTTACAACTATTTCTAATATATTAGAATTCTAATATATTATTATTAATAATATATTATTAATAATAACACCTGGATTTAACTAAGCAATATGTTTATTTTCAAATGAGTTACATTATCAGACATTAAACTGTGTATTTTATCTGGGATTCTTTCAGATGTTGAAAGAATAAAATTCTACACTTCTCCAACGATCAACTTAAAACATGTGGCACTTTCTTTATTCAATCTGTTTGAGAAGTGCAAGGATAGTCTGCCGTTTGTAGCTGTTCAAACTAATATTCTGATATCTGGGGTGAGCATCACATTCATTCAAATCCTGAGTTGATTCAAAGAGATGCTATGGCCCTCACAATATATTTCCATGTGTGATGATGTCATCATGCACATGAGAAAAATTACATTATTCTCAACATGTCATTTTATGTGAATACCATAAATCACAATGAATTTGATTTGTTGCATGACAAAACCATTTCCATTGCATCAAGATGTGGCAAATCAAGTTTTCACTGTGGTTATTCTCCCTGTTTCTATTACAATCTTTTCTAAATGACTGAATCAGTATAAAACCAAATATTGTCTATTTTTTATACAGCCTGATTATCCATCTCTATGCTAATGTTCTGATTTAAAAAAAATATTTTAAAAGCCCCCTCTTTTTTTGCTATGCAGGTTTACATATCATCCAATTAAGATGTACATTTTGCTTGTAATAATAAGATCCTGCTCATCATACAGTATAATCACAGTATTATTAAAGTCAAAGGAACTAAAATCATTTGATCTTAATTTTACAGATCATGGACTTTGGCTCCTGTTTATTTCTTAACAATACTTATAAAATGATCCTGATTTAATATTTAATTTATTTTTACACACAGATTTACCTCTTTTACATCATCTTCTCCAGCTGCTTTATATTTCACTATGTAATTACGAACTTTTCCTGGAGCGTGATCCCAATTGACTTTCATGTTGCTGTGAGTGACATCACTTAGCCTTAGTCTTTTTGCTCCGCTTAAAGGTACTGAAAAATAAACATAGTATTGCCCAAGTTCTTAGATAATATTCTTCTAAATCAATCAATCAATCAATCAATCAATCAATCAATCAATCAATCAATAAATAAATAAGTAAATAAATAACATATAGCCAACCTATCCTACTCTGAATTTAATTATTAAATTAATACACCATTATTAATTCATTAATTTAAAATTTTTAATTTCAAAACTGTTGTACAGAACTGCAGATGAAGACAAAGGTTTTGAAAATCATATCCTCATTGTTACCATTCAAGTAGGTAACATTATATATAATAAGGCCATTATCTTTCAATTTTCTGGGGAAAATACTTCCCAAAATCTATACTATCCATGAAAAATAGCTATATACTGTAAATCCCAGCTGTTACTAGAAAAAGAATACCAATGATTGATGTTCAAGCCTAACATTCATGCTTTCAAAATACTTCATGTCAGTATCTTTTCACGAAAAGCTACCCTAACCCTTTAAGTTTAAGTCACCAAATAATAATCCATGCTAGCTGAGGTATCTAGGAAGTACAATCCTACCAGAGCAATGGGACAGTGGGGTAAGTGCTTACAACTGGCAGTAATTATACTGCAGATATATGTAAAAAGGAGTTGGGTAGCACTTTTTCAATCTAAATAGTTTTCTTAAAAGGTACAAAGTTTTTGATTTTTGGCTACCACGGGCTAACACAGCCCTCCGCTTATAGAATCTCACTAATCACTAAAGCAACAGACAAAATATTTCAACAAATGGTATTATTCCTACATGTGACTTCCTGAGTAGTGAGTGGATCACTAATGAGGTCACCAAAAGTTGAATGAACTGTTAAAGTGTACTCAGTATTTGGGATCAAGTCAACCAGCTGTACATCATTCACTGATGCTCCTACCCGCATCTAGAAGAAATAAAGGAAAGAGGAAAAATATCAAAATAAAAAACAAAATGTTTAAAAATGTTTTCTTAAAAAACATTTATTGCCCAGAGTTACCTTGAGGTAAGATGGGCGGCTTATAATTTTTATAAATAAATAAATAAATTTACAGTTTCCTGGCTTTTGCCATACTATACAGTGCACCTGTTGATGCATTTGATTTTATACTGTAAAAGGCAAATTATATCTCATTGTTTGGGTATATGGGAGTAAATACACGTATCTTCTCTCTCTCTCTCTCTCCCCTCCCTCCCCCCACCCTCTCTTGTTGTTACCTCTTTTTCAGTTGCTGGTATTGTGGCATTGACAGGCTCATATAATAACATGTAACCAGTAGCTCCTTTTACAGGTTCCCACCGCACACGCATTGTCCTTGAAGTGACATCATAAGCATTCAGGCTCCTCACCAAAGGGATTGACACTGTGAAAAGCATAAATATTCACTTCAGCTACTCACATCAACATACTTATTTCCCCCTTTATCTCCCAAACATTGGTCATTTCACTTCTTTCTGGTTTGGGAAACAGAACATTGAAGGAGAGATTGTTGGACCTTTTTACTTATTATACTGGGATAATGAAGGACTGCAACACTGTGACCAACCAATTCAAGCACAGTCACATCCACTGATACCCATGCAGATTTTGCTATTTGCTAAGATTTGTGTGAACAAGGTAGATATTAAATAACCTGAAGCTTCTAATGTAAGATTACCAATTTTCTTGTGACCAGCAGGATTTAAAAAACAAACAAACAAAGTTCTCAGAAGCGTTTTTTGTCTCATGCCTAGTAGCATCATGATCTCATCGAAGTGGGCAGGGCCAATTTTGTTTAGCCCACCTTAGAAGGGTTGATAATGCTAAAAACATCCATTTCATCCTATAACCCTCAAACTTTCCAACTACAAAAATAAATAAAATTCAGGCTTAAATTGTTGGTGATACTTATTCAAATGGTTTGGAAACCACAGGGGGAAAAAATCCATGGGGGAAGAGGAAGATTGAGTAGCTTCATGAAGGCCAGGCAGCAGAATCCAGATGACTCATCCTTCCTCTGGCGTAGGGCCAGTGACCCGTTTCTAGCTTGGTAGGTAACTATCGCATAGGTCCCTACTAAAAGATATAGCACTCCTTTGGGAATAAATTATCAAATTGAATATTCCACTCCTGGTTAAGGATCAGGTCGATAAATAATGTCAAAAAAACCTACGAAGAGTCAATTTTATTAAGCAATTGCTTCATGTGACTGATTCTTACCTTTTATGCAATGTTTTTTATAAGTCACTCTCCGTTCTATGGTCTGAGCAACAATAGGCAAATTCTTTTTTTGCTTAATATATTACAGATATTAGAGTTCCAGTATTTCTTGTTTTAAATCCTGGACTCTTTTTAACTAAGACAAGGACACATGTTAGGAGGTTATGATTTCTTAAAAAAAAAAACAACTACGTGGCTTATTTATGGTTTATATATATTCATTCATTCTTTCATTCAATTTACTGTATGTGCACCACCCAAAGTGCAATACATCTCTAGGCAGTTAACATCTGGTTGAAAGCCACAAACAAACATTTCAAAGCAAAACACTAATGCACATCACATCTGATGCCTCTCACGTGTCTATCTACTCCCCCTCCCAAGAACATAGACTGCAACCAGCCTCAGATGAAGGAGGAGATCCACTGCAAGCCTGTCCCCTCCTCCCAACCCCGAGCTGACAGCCACTGAGAGAGCGAGAGACCACCAAACGTGCCAGAAATAACTCTCAAGTGCCACTTCAGTATTCTATACAAATCTGGAACCAGATCCTGATCCATCTCAGACTGGATGGCATCAGTGAAGGCAGTTGAAAGTTCCCAAAGATCATAAGTTTGGGAAGCTCCACAAGCAACATAGCCAGTGTCAAGCAGCTCAAATAGGGGAGCTGCTATATAGCAGGGAAGGTGGTGCAGTAGCAACAGCCCCATGTGATCCCTAGAATGTCACAAAGATGGTTTCTGGTTGACTATCCAGAGTTATTCTTCTGAAAGCCATCAGTTTCCCAGATGTCTATGGACATTCTATCAACTCTGTCTTGGGGATGCAGCAAGCGCAACACTTGAAACGCAGTGAGAAAAGTACTAAAACATCTCCATTCCTCACCCCATCAGTCATATCCAGGTCTCTTGGGAAGAATTCAGAGGACTGCAATGTGAAATCAGTAGGCAACCTTTACATACCAGCTTCAATATCATCTATGGAGATTCTCGATCACCCAGGTCATGGTTGTCCCAAAGGGGTTTTTCCCGAAGGCAACGGGACTTCCTTAGTTTTTTTCCTTTGAAAATGTTTTGCTTCTCATCCAAGAAACTGGAACTAAAGAAGCTTCTTGGATGAGGAGCAAAACATTTTCAAAGGAAAGAAATAACCAAAGTCCAGTTGCCTTTTGGAAAAAGCACCTTTGGGCCAGTTTCAATATCCTGCACTATCTAAGGCCAGTCACTTATCAAACAAAAAGTAAAGGCCGTTTGCCATACATTTTATTAATATTATTTGTATGCACTAACAATTATTCAGTATGTCTATTATTTTGGAATATTCACTTACATGTTGTTTCAGTCCCTTTTAATGGTTCACTACTGGTTCCTTCTACAATAGAAAATACATTCACAACATATTCTGTTTCAGGCTTGAGGCCAGTGAGGACAGTAGTAGTGTCCGAACGACTTACAAAGACCTGAATAAAAATAAATAAAACAAAAACAGATATAATTGAACATATTTCACAAATAAATGTAAAATATACATAGTTATCTTAGTTCAGGTACTAAATAATTTAAAACAGAACTTAAGTTGTCCCTATAGCAGATGTAATAGTATATACAGTATGTGATGCCAAAAGCTGTAAAATATGAATTATTTGGAAAATTAGGGTGTGTAACTCTTAACATCCTTACAGTAAGTTTCACTGCATCAAGGCTGAAATCTATCTGGAATATGCAATCACAGAAGACAGCAGAAAAGTGTACTATATGTACAGTATATAAATTGGCTACCATCTCTCTGTATGTGAGGGTTTAGGGGCTGTTTCAAATACATACTGCACTAAGAAACCAACCAACTGTGGCTCCAAATATCGGAATATGAATATATATGTACACATATTGCTGTATCATGGCTCCTCCCATATTGCTGTATCATGGCCCTGATGATGCCGGACGTTTCCGGCGAAAGCTTGGCCCAATAAATTTTAACTCTTTTGTACTTTTTACTCTTGGTGTTCGACCTTTTAATCATGAATATCCCCAAGAGTCGAATTTTTAATACTATAAACTGTCATGTACACATATATATTTATAAAATTGCAACATACAAAACTATAGTAATAAATATATCATATAGTAAGCATATATACAAAAATAGGAAAGGGAAAAAGAGATAATTTTTATATGCAGTAAAAGCTCTGTTACTACAGTATATAACTTCTCTTCAGCTACAGAGTTTTTCCTTCCTCCCCTCCCCTCCTGGGGCTTCTTCTGATCATGTCTATTATTTGCAAATGGTTAAAAAGCCTGTGTTAATGCTCCTAAGTATTCTGGATGTTATGGCATCCAGACAATTATGGTAGGATGCAAACTGCCTGGTTGCCACATGGGAGACATTATTTTTGTATAATCAGTTCCAGTACTAGCACTAGCCTGAGGATCAGCTTAAACACAACCACACTATTGGGAAAATAAGCATTAAATTAATGCCTATAACTAATCAATCCCTTCTGTTTAATACCAACCCTTACTTGATTGGACTGGTTAAGCAATACAGTATGAGGACTCTACTCCAAGCGAGACATCCATTGCTATTGTTATTAGTATTGAGTAATACGGTACTAATGCGGGCTCAGGAATTCTGCGAGATGAAGCCCACGGATCGTAAAGTTAGCCACAGTTGACCATCCTTGCTATAAAGTACAGTGTATCTCTTCTTCCAGCACCCAATCAGCCCAGCAGTCCCAGCCATTCTGAACCAGTATCAATAAGATATCACTTATTGCCTTTCTGTGTTTAATTTGGTACTATGTAACAAGGAAACATTTTGCTCAAGTGCTTTGAGAATAGTTTAAGGCTTACCTATCAGCCACCCATGCATGCATATATTCACCATATGATTTAGTCAGAAACAGTGGAATTTAGGAATCTAAACTAAGCAAAAATATCCCCCCTAAAATAAGAAATAAAATAATCTGTCTCCACATCTGACCTCCTGTGGTGTGCCTCCTCGGGCAGGATAATATTCAACTCTGTATCTATCCACACTCTCAGTGGGTGCAGTCCAAGACACTCTGAACGAAAGAGGGGTCACTTCAGAAGTAACTAGATTGGTGGGTGGCAGAGACAAATCACCTGTTGGGACAAGAAACAAATGGAATTTACAGTAAGGAAGTCTTGATGATAAGAAGATTTGCTAGAGATGAATCATAATTGAAGCAACAAAATATATAAAGATGCTTTTTCTTAAGCACATAAGAACACTTTATTTATTATTTCAATATTAAAGCCATTTATGTAGTGAATGGAGCTGTATCTGAACCACATTCATAACAGAAGTTACAGGAAAACAAACTGCGCACAATGAGAGAAAATCTGAGCAAATCTGGAAAACTGGTAACAATGTCCCCTTTGCTGGATATATTCAAACAGAAACTGAACCCGTCAAAATGCTTTAGGGCAGTGGTGGCGAACCTATGGCACGGGTGCCAGAGGTGGCACTCAAAGCCCTCTCTGTGGGCACACGTGCTGTTGCCCCAGTCCTAGGCCTTCAGCTGGGTTTTATAAAACCTTTTCGCTTTAGGCCTCTGCCGCCGTGTGCAAAAAAAAAAAAAGGTTCAATCAATCAGTCAATTTCAACTTCTCACGGAAAAAAAAAGATCTTGCAAAGTTGGAATTGATTGAACTTTTTAGTCCCACCCAGTCTGCCATTACCACTGCAGCCACGCCCACCCAATGGGCCACACCCACCCAATGGGCCACACCCACCCGGCACCCGACAATGCATAAGTGGGTTTTGGGTTGCAGTTTGGGCACTCGGTCTCTAAAAGGTTCGCCATCACTGCTTTAGGGTGTGAAAACAAGAATTAAGCATCATATTGGCCTTAACAGCCTTAATCTTCCATTTCAACTCTATGATTCTAATGAGACAAGGCATCCTAATAAAAATCATTCAGTGATTGCACATTTTAATATGTGTTATTTCCCTATGCATATATGAAATACATAAGGGTATAGACATTGCATGGCAAGAGAAAACAAATATGAAAAGAACTGCATTCCTACGTAGACCAGAGATATGGATATCTTGTTCAGAAACTCTGCTTGACCACATTCCAAGAGAAATTAAGCAGACAACTTTTTCTTAAGCACAAAATAAAATTCTGAGGGGTAACATACCTGATCCTTTCACGCTATTGCACAAATTATCAGTGACACTATCAACAATGTTAACCAGAAGGTTGAAATCTTCAACATTGAAAGCATGGGTGTCATCCGGATCACTTGCAATCTGCTTCAGTTCATTCACATCCGCATTTTTAATACCTTAAAAACCACAAGATAATACATTTTAAGTGATTATTTAAGTAATCATCTAGATATGAGCAAAATTATATTCCAAACCCTTTCTATATTTGATTTCCTCTTCACCTGATACTCACCGATAGCAAAGATCTCCACTCCCTGTTCCTTCAGTCTGTCTGATGGAATATTTATGTCATCCTGTGACTTGCCATCAGTAATGAGGACAGCGATTTTTTTAGCTCCAGGCCTCAAGCCAGCTTCAGTCTTAAAATTGTTTCTTAAGATGAAGCTCAAAGCCATTCCTGAAATCACACATAGGCATATATAAAATGAGGAACTCAATATTTATTGGCCTTTTTTATGCTCAGAAAGTAAACCTCCAAAAATATTATAGCCTAATTTACTAGTAGATCGGTTCTTGGAGGCCTTTTATACTTTCCTTTTATTAGAACAATAATTCTATTCTTGTGAGACTAAAGGTTGCCAGATATCTGTTCCTGGCCAATTCGCAACAGAACCAGCAAAACCTCCAATACAATTACCAAAGTCTCTCACTCCTACTTGGGAGTCACTGTAGATCAAGATAGTTTCTTTCATAGGATAGGAAATGTGAGGGCTAGACTACCAAAGGCACAGTGATACAGTACTACTCACAGTGATACAGTACTACTAATTTTGTGAGTCGTTTTTTCCCAGTATAATGTATGCTGAAAAAATCAATAGCAAAATAGAGAGCCAATTTGGTCTAGTGGTTAAGGCACCAGTCTGGAAAGCAGGAGACTGTGAGTTCAAATTCTGCCTTAACCATGAAAGCCAGCTGGGTGACTTTGGCCAGTCATTTTCTGTCAGCTCAACCCCACCTCACAACCCCACCTTGTTGTTTTGAGGAAAACAGAAGGAGAAAGAAGGTGTATTGGATATGTATGCTGCTCAAGTTATTTGTTAAGAATAATAAAGGTGAGATACACACACACACACACACACACACACCTGTTAGGGTGTTGCCTCCTTTATATGGCAAATTGGCCACAGCGTCCAATAAACTCTGTTTAGTTGAATGGGCATTGAGGTTCCATTCTGTTCTTGGATCTCCACTATACTGTGCAAGAGCTGGGGAGAAAATGTAGTGTAATTATAAATTGTCTTACAATAGCATAACTCAAAATATTCCAATTCACTTCAAAACTTACCGACTTGCACTTTGTCTGGACCAATATCAAATACTTGAACAATGCTAGCAATAAAGCTCCGGACTGTTTTAAAATTTGCTCGACCAATGCTCCAAGAACCATCCACCAGCAATACAATATCTGCTTCAGTTCTGGTTTTACATTCTAAGCCTATTGCAGCAATCAGAATAAATCTGAGTTAGTTACAAACAACTTTTTTTTTCCAATCCTGTCTTACAATATACATAAAATGAAGATTTTAATTAACTTGAAGTTCTTTTATGTACGTCTTAACTAACTGAAATTCTTCTATGATCATTTCATTTCTTGCTAATAATGAAAAAGATGTCCAAGGTTGCATATATTATTAATTTAAAAATATTATTGTCATATGTACTGTATACTGATTAGATGGACACAACCTAAGTAAACTTAAGTAAGTGATCAACGATTGCTTCTGCATATTCATCAGTTCCAATCAAGAATGCTTAATGTCTAAATTATAGGTATTAGAAACGGTCTTTAGAGCGTAATATATATGCATAACACAGCACATTAACAGCTATATTTGCTAATTAATGCAGATGGTGCAGATATTTGCACATGTAAATCACAAAAGGAAGCACAACACAAATAAGATAACAGAAACAAACACATAAAAGAGTGGAAGTGACAAAACACACACATTTATAAAAGTATTAAATGCTTAGAAAGAAAAAAATACTGGGGATTTTCAATGTATGAGAACAAAAATAAAGAGCTCACTTTCCATATGTTGGAAACGACAGTATATTTACAGTATTACAAAGCAAAAACAGCACAGAATATTTAAACAATCCTTTCAACACCTATTGTAAAATTTTTAAAATGCATTCTTCCTCCTCCTCTTTGCTCTGAAGTTCATGTTATCAGCTGCAAAACATTCTGGCTTCCTGCCATCGCAGCTTCTGGTCTTTACATGGAAGGAATCCCACTGAGTAAAATCAAGCACACTCATCAGAGTTAAAGATGGGTTCATCTATGTTTCACATCATTGCTCCAATATTCAGATTTACTGAGAACAGCTACTCCAGGACCTGAAGATTTAAAAGTATGACTTTCTTCTGCGTAAAACAATAAATTCTGAACTTTAATCAATACAAGGATCATAAACTGGGAAGCAGAATATAGCTTACAAATCATGCATTTTCTAACCCTGGGTCACAATCAAAAAGCTGTACTGTATGTCTATTCCACGCCACTACACATATTTCAATGCCATGGGAGCAATACTGGGAATGGAGATATCTAGAATCT